TGATGTTCCGGGGAAGATCAGGAATAGGGTAAATGAGTGGTTGGAGGAGGCTGAGGCCTGTATGAGGGCAATTTATCACCTGTTGATCAGGCTTTTTATTTGTATGATCATCTCGAGGGTGAGGCACGAGAGGAACTTAGATACCGTCCTAGTGCTGAACGGACTGATCCAGCTTGCATTATTAGAGTGCTAAAAGAGGTATATGGTTATACCGATTCCTATGTCTCGTTGCAAGAGGCTTTCTTTTCTAGAAAGCAGCAGGAGGGTGAAACCCTTCAAGAATTTTCCCTTGCACTAATGGGATTAATGGAGAGGGTTAAAGTTTCTGCACCTACTAGCATGGGTTGAGAGATCAGTTTGTGGAGCATGTTTAAGATGGTCCACTGCAATGTGCATTAAAACAGTTTGTACGGGAGAAACCTGCAGCTACTTTACTTGACGTCAGGGCTGAGCTATTAGGTGGGAACGGGAGGGCTCATCAGGCAGTAGTAGGGCTCGCAGTCTTTCAGTTCCATCACTTGGATTTCAGTATGCTGTCCATGGCATTTCCCAGATTAATTCAGGGGATCAGGGGTCAGGATTGAGGTCCTTGCGTGATATGTTGGTGCAACAACAAGAGCAATTAAATCAACTCACTCAGAGCATTGCCTCTCTTAGTCAAACTCGCCAACAGAGTCGTCCCCCTCGTAATGTCCCTATAGTCTGTAGACGGTGCCAACAGCCAGGCTATTATGCTAGAGAATGTGATGGTGTACGTGTCCCTTCCCATTTTCGCAATCAAGGCCCTCAGCAGCCCTCGAATTCCCTGCCTCATAGCTCTGTGGTCTCGGAAAACTAGTGCCCACTGAATTGTTGAGCCGCAGTTCGGGTGGGGCCACTATTGGCTCAGTCACAGCGCCATATAATGGTATGGATACGCCAAAGCTTGTTGCACTGTGTCCTCATTTAGATGTGTGTTTGGGAGGTGTTCAGGTGCCCTGTCTAATTGACACTGGTTCTATGGTGTCAACCCTTACAGAAAGCTTCTTTAAGGATAATTTCGAGTCTGGGGGCCCTGATGGTTTACGCCCTTGTCACTGGTTGCAGCTTAAGGCAGCAAATGGGTTAAATATCCCCTACCTTGGCTACATAGAGCTTAGTGTTAAACTTTTTGGCAAAGACCTCCCAAACTTCGGGGTTTTAATTGTAAAAGATCCTCATGGCAAAGTGGCTCTCACACCAGGTGTTTTGGGCATGAATGTAATCCAAAAATGCTATCATGAGCTCTTTGTGCAGCATGGCGCAGGATGTTCAGTCAGGACAATGTCCCCCAGTCCCCTCATGAAATTTGGCCCGCATTGCAAAAGTGCCATCAGGCAAGCCTGCAGGGCCCATCAGACTGTGTGGGGAAGGTAAGGGTCAGAGGTCGTGCAGCATGCAGGGTCCCAGGTGGGGTTATGAAGCTTGTGGCTGCTACATGCTCTGATCAGCTGTCACAGGCTGTACTATTTGAGCCTCCTGAGGCAGGTTTGCCTGGAGGTTTGCTTGCTTCTCCTGCTTTGGTCCGTGTGGTGCGAGGCACAGCCTACATACCAGTTGTTAATGTAGGCTCTACAGATATCTTGCTTTATCCACGTACTGTTGTAGGTACTCTGCATCATGTTAATGTTATCAGTCTGCCTGCCGGTGTTAAAGAAGAGCCCTCATATACGGCTAAGGTGTCCTCTCAGGTTGTAGCCCCAACAGTGCAGGACCAAATTGAGGCCATTGATCTCTCCCAACTGCCCAGCACACAACAGGGGCAGCTGAGGACCCTTCTTAGGGATTATTTGTCAGTCTTTGCAGAAAATGACAGTGAGTTGGGGTGTACGAACATAATTAGCCATGACATACCCCTTATTGATGAGACCCCTGAAAACCAGCGATACCGGCATATACCACCGTCAGACTATGAAGCAGTAAAGAATCACATTAATCAGCTACTTAGTACTAATGTGATCAGAGAAAGCTGCAGTCCCTATGCATCTCCCATTGTGCTAGTCAAAAAGAAGGATGGGAGCCTGAGGATGTGTGTGGACTATCGGCAGCTTAACAGCAAAAGCCGTAAAGATGCCTTCCCATTACCACGCATTGAGGAGTCGTTGGATGCACTTACAGCTGCTTGCTGGTTCTCTACTCTGGACTTGGCAAGTGGTTACAACCAGGTACCTGTTGCAGAAGCAGATCGTCATAAAACAGCGTTCTGCACCCTATTTGGTCTATTCGAGTGGAATAGAATGCCATTTGGCCTTTGTAATGCGCCCAGTACATTTCAGAGATTTATGCAGCGCATTTTCTCTGATGAACAGAATCAGACATTATTGCTGTATCTTGATGACATAGTTGTGTTTTCTTCCACTGTGGAACAGCATTTGGAGCACCTGGGGATGGTGCTTGGACGCCTGAAGAAAGAGGGTCTCAAGGCAAAGTTCACAAAATGCTCTTTTCTTCAGCCAGAAGTTAAATACCTAGGCCATGTCATTTCTAGCAAAGGTGTTGCAACTGATCCATCTAAAATTGAAGCAGTGGCTAACTGGCAGCGCCCCAGCACATCCACAGAGCTGAGGTCCTTCCTTGGGTTCGCCAGCTGCTATCGGCGGTTTGTTGCAGGCTTTGCCAAGCTGGCTGCGCCCCTTCCCAACTAGTGGCACATTTAGCCTACGCTGACTTTTCTTTGCTTTTTATTCTAGATGTTGATGCGAGCCATGGTGGTCTGGGGGCTGTTCACTCCAAACAACGGGACGGGGTGGTGCGTCGTATTGCTAATGCCAGCCGAGGATTAAGGCCAACTGAACGCAATATTGATAACTACAGCTCCATGAAACTTGAATTTTTAGCCCTTAAATGAGCCATGACTGAAAAATTCAGAGAGTACTTGTTGGGCCATAAATGTCTTGTATTCACTGATAACAATCCCCTCAGTTATCTTAGTACTGCCAAGCTGGGTGCCTCTGAACACCGATGGGCTGCACAACTTGCCTCCTTTGAGTTCAAGATTCAGTACCGGTCAGGGCATACGAACAGGAACGCAGATGCCTTTCCAGAAAACATCCATCTATGGGAGAACAGGTTGGTGCTTTTCTTCCTGGGAGTAGCCTGCCTGAATCCCTGCAGCTGATGATGGAGAGACAGGATGCTATGCAAGCTGCCATTGCAGTCCTCCCTGAACGTACCACAAAGGATATGCAAGTATTACAACATGCTGACCCAGTTTTGCAGGAACTTTGGACCTTCTGGGCCCGCAAGAAACAACCTGATCGCACAGAGCGAAGGAATTTATCTTTGTCTTTGTTGGCATTCCTGAGGCAGTGGGATCGCCTGGTGGAGAAGGATGGTGTCCTCCACCGCAAGACCTTCCGTCCTGATGGTGCTGAGGAGATGCTACAGCTGTTGCTGCCCACAGCCTTGAAGAAGGAGGTCCTGACGCAAGCTCATCAGGACCATGGCCATCAAGGTGTGGACAGAACTCTCTCACTCCTGAGGACAAGATGTTACTGGCCAAAAATGTCCTCTGATGTTGTTGATTGGTGTAGGTTATGTGAGCGATACCAAGTAGCAAAAGATCAAACCTCGTGCACGGACCTACATGGGCCTTTTGCTGGCGTCACGACCCAATGAGATTCTGGCAATGGACTTCACAATCCTGGAGCCTTCTCAAGATGGGCGGGAGAATGTGCTCATTTTAACTGACGTTTTTAGTAAATACACCCTGGCCATACCAACCAGAGATCAACGTGCCTCTACCGTGGCTCATGTCCTGGTGAATGAGTGGTTTTCAAAGTTTGGGGTACCAGCCCGTGTTCATTCGGACCAGGGGTGTAATTTTGAAAGTTCCATTATTTAGCAACTTTGTCAATTCTATGGCATCAAGAAGTCTATGACCACATCGTACCACCCTGCTGGAAATGGACAATGTGAAAGGTTTAATCGTACACTTCATAATCTGTTGCGTACCCTCCCCACCACCAGTAAAAGGGCATGGACCTCTTATTTGCCACAAGTTGTCTTTTGTTATAACACCACACCACATCAAAGCACTGGAGAAATTCCCTTCTTTCTGATGTTTGGCCAACAACCTAGGCTTCCTTTAGACTTCCTGCTGGGCCATGTATCAGAACCAAGTGCTGGCAGTGTTGACAAGTGGGTTGCAGAGCACCAGACACGCATGTAACTGGCTTTTGAGGAAGCCAGGGAGAAGCTGAAGATTGCTGCAGATAGGAGAAAAAGAAATGATGACCAGCATGTTCAAGATTCTCCTCTCCATGAAGGTCAACTTGTCTTACTGCGAGACACCAGTCAACAGGGAAGACACAAAATTCAGGATCTGTGGCGCTCTAAGGTGTATAAGGTCCTAAAAGTACTGGGTGGCACCGGAGCAGTTTACACTGTGGCTCCTGCAGATGAGCTGAACAAAATTAAAAGGGTCCACAGATCTCTACTGAAGCCAGTTGTTTGCAGTGAAGTCCCAGTATCACCAATTGGGGAACCTCTGTTAAGTGATTCATCCTTTGAGGATGAAACTGATCCTGATTTGTTTTTGAGGGTAAATGTCAACCAACCACCGCCTTCTTTGCCAGTCAACCCACCCATGGCCAGATATGACATGGTTCCTCGGTCCGCTGAGATATATCGTCCTCAAGCGCCTTCAACATCCGCCTCTCAAGCGCCTTCAACATCCGCCTCTCAAGCGCCTTCAACATCCGCCTCTCAAGCGCCTAGTGTTGCTAGCTTAAGTAAAGATGAGGGCCCTCTAAGGGTAATGAGAAGAACTGTGTCCACCATCTCCCAAGAGCAACAGGATTAGTGCATGGGGCTGCAAACTCTCCTGATGCACACTGTAATGCCGTTTGTGTACTGTTTAGACCTTGGTGTTAGTGTTTTTTGGAGTCGTCGCCGGGGCATCGACGCAAGTTGGGGGGGTAGACTGTAGCAGCATAAATGGTACGCTGCCTCTTTAAGATCAATTTCGGTTGCTGCATATAAGCAGGTACCCATCTGCCACGAAGCTGCTTGCGTCATGACGTCGTATCATTTTGGTTCCTTTGTCTGCTGAACTGTGCTGGGTAAGCGTGGCTGTTTCTTTGTTTGTCAGCGTTTATCTTGGTTATTAATGCAAACTGGTCTGCTCCGTTTAGCCTCTTTTGCTGCTCCTCCAAAACCCGGACTGATCTGTTCGTTTGTTTGTTTGATGCCAGGAAGGTAAGGGCTAGCGTGGCTAGATAACATCCACCCCATAAAAACAAAGCCTTTACACAGCATTTTGTTACAGCTGCGCTGCATAGGCGGAATTGTGAAACCGTTTATTTGGCAGCCTGGTAATGCAACAGGTAAGCGGCTATCATGAATAGTAGTTTCATCAGCAGTTGTATTGATGGTTTGCTTTGATGGTTTGCTTTATTTTTTTTTTAGCCTCCTGATGAGTCTTGACTACCATTATACTGGATTTGACACTCGCTGCTGTTTTGCCTAAAAGGAACTGTTTTGAGAGATCTATTTAGACTTTCCCCTGTTGTCGGGAGCATTGATGGCACTCCATCTGGATAAAAGTGCAATATTGTAGTGCTGTCGTGCCACCGTTTTACTCATTGTTTTATTTTTTTGTCTTTCTTTTAGGGACTGAGGCTTCTGTGGTGGCTGTGGTGACCCCTGGTGGCGGTGTCTTGTTTTGTGTGTTTTGTGGGAGCTCCTTTATTTTTTTTGTTTGCCGTGTTTTTGTAGTGTCCAGGGTGATCCTTTTTCGTCACTCGATGCTGCCCCTTTTCTCACCACTTCCCCCTCCCACTGGTAAGCCTCAGGTTCCTTTTAAAATTTAAATATTTTACAATCAATTTCATTAAAAATGCATTCTGTTGGGCCCTCAGGATTGTGTGCTGAGCTGTGTTAGGGTTTCTCTTACCTTTCCTCCTCAGAGTCTCCAGCCCAGAAGAGCCTCCAGCTGGTTCCAATTGGACGCAATCAGGGAGCAGTATTTAGAGGAGTGGATTTCCTGGGAAGGACGCCAGTCGGTTAATTTCCACGCAGTGGTAACTTACCAGCTAGCTCTTCTGAAACTGAACTCTGTGTCTTGGCTCAAGCTCACCTCCTTGTCTTCCTTGTCCCCTAGAAGCCTTGCAGTCCCAAGTCGGTTCTCTTCTCAGTCCTCCTGGATCCATCCTCCGCTGCTCACCTGCCTGTCCACCCTCTGGAGCTCTCAAGTCGAAACCCGACACCTCAGCCAAACTCAATCTCTGTGGGCTCATCCAACCTCCCCTCCATCTGCTCCGCTCTCCATGGATCTGTAAGGAGTTTGCATCTTTTCTAGTTCACTCAGTTCCCCGGCCCGAATCTAACTGATCTCTCTCTCTGTGCAGTTCCTGATTAAGCTGCTGTTTCCTGAGCATCTTCGCCGGTCCAAAACTATCTCTCTGTTAAAACTTTTCAATAAACTTTCTAAACCGCTTCCTGACTCGTGTTGTGTCTGCGTCAGAGTCAACTCTAGAATCATGTCACATTCACTGTTTTAACCATTTAATTGCAGATTATTGTGACTATTTTTAAACAAAGGAAGAATATTGAAGTTAATAAACTTTTGTAAAACTATTTGAATCTTGTCTCATTTCCAATAGAACTTACCTGTGTCCTTACTATTCTATTTTCCTGGAGTTATTCCAGGTGGCGTTGTCGGTATACCATATTAACTTTAACATCCAGCACTTGGATTTAACCAAAAAAAAAGAGAGAAAATCCAACCACCCCTCGCAGGTTGCCACACAAACAGGTTAATAAGGAAACTTAGTGACATGAAAATGAAAGTTGACATTGTCGATTTATTGCAGAAGGAATCAGGAAGCAGAGGATATATATATATATATATATATATATATATATATATATATATATATATATATATATATATATATATATATATATATATATATATATATATATATATTTATTTATTTTTTTTATTTATTTTTTTTCTTCCTGCCATGTGGTCCACACTCCATACGAGTTGGTGGCGGTAATGCCACCAACTGGTAACTGCCAACTGTCAATAAAACTCAATGAGAAGAAGAAAACAAAAAAAATAGATATTGAAATTTAAATACATTTTTTTATTGACTTGTTATTGCCACTCGCAGTCAGAAGACTCCAAGGTCGTCTGTGTGCCATCCCAGGGACTCCTATTCAGTCAAAATTGTGTGTGTGTGTGTATATATATATATATATATATATATATATATATATATATATATATATATATATATATATATATATATATATATATATATATATATATATATATATATATATATATATATATATATACCGTAAATTCTCTAATATAGGCCCGGGCCTTTATTTCACTCAAGTGCATCGCGGTCCAGGCCTTTATTGGATAGAGGCCAGTATTAGAGACAGGCCTCTATTGCTATTTGAGCAAAACAGACTACCAGTGGAATGAATAAAAATGAGATTTTGTGTCTATTTGAACCTATAAAACACTAGGTTCATTTATTGAAAAAGTACAGTTACCATGTCTCGCTTGGTTTGAAGTAAAAAAAAAAACTAAAAATCCTCCAATTCTGTTTAATTCTCCTCCTCAGTTTCCTCCTCCTCTTCATCTCTCCCTTTAATCTCCTCATCACTCGCGCTCCTCCTGTTCTGCTGCGTGTCTGTTCTCTTCCTCGCGCAGACGGGCAGCAGCAGGGCATGTCGTCCAGCTGCACAGGGCTGTGGTACTTGTATGTTACTACCACAAGTATAATGTTGAGGTATGCCCAGAAAAAACGTTTATAGCCCCGGCCTGTATTAGAGACCGGCCATTATTTACCTCCTCTGACAGCGAGACCGGCCATTATTAGAGACCCGGCCGCTATTGGAATACAGGCCAATATTAGAGAATTTACGGTATATATGTGTATGTTCTCTAGTAATATTTATTTTATATCCTCTGTAAATAGTTGTAGTAATTTTAAAATCTAATGTAAATACTTGTTTCCCTAAAACTAAACTGATGTTGTCACTGAGAAATTGTTCTAAGTTTACTTAAATTGTAAAGAAGTGATGAAACAGATCATGCAAAAAGGTTAAAAGACTTAAAGAACACACTGACAACAATAAATTTATAAACAATTTAATAATTTAACAATAACAGCAACACAGAATCTCAACGTCTGTCCACCATCCTCTCCAATAAATTAAATAATCTGTCCATCCTTTCCCGCCTCCCTCTGCCATCTGATATCCTCCCTGTTTAAATCAACCAGCTCGTCACTCCTTCTCTTCCTCCTTTCCCTCCTCTCTCCTGGCCTCTCATCCTCATTCTCTTCCTCATCTTCACCCTGATGCTGCTCAGCCTCTGCAGCACCTGGCCCTGGTGTGTCCTCAGGGACAACATATTCTCATTATGAGTGCGTGTGAAATCGTACGAAAAGTTATGCACACTATTTCGTACATTTTTGGACGTTTTTCCTTAAAAAACCACATCAGTGTGCATGCGCTGGCAGACAGAAAAAAAAAGCAGATCTGCTGACGGATGTAAAAATGTGAAAAACAGTACAATAATCACTAATTCATGTCTCTAACTACACTATATTGCCAAAAGTATTTGCTCACCCATCCAAATTATTGGAATCAGGTGTTCCAATCACTTCCATGGCCACAGGTGTATAAATTCAAGCACCTAGGCATGCAGACTGTTTTTACAAACATTTGTGAAAGAATGGGTCGCTCTCAGGAGCTCAGTGAATTCCAGCGTGGAACTGTGATAGGATGCCACCTGTGCAACAAATCCAGTCGTGAAATTTCCTCGCTCCTAAATATTCCACAGTCAACTGTCAGCTGTATTATAAGAAAATGGAAGTGTTTGGGAACGACAGCAACTCAGCCACGAAGTGGTAGGCCACGTAAACTGACGGAGCGGGGTCAGCGGATGCTGACGCGCATAGTGCGAAGAGGTCGCCAACTTTCTGCAGAGTCAATCACTACAGACCTCCAAACTTCATGTGGCCTTCAGATTAGCTCAAGAACAGTGCGCAGAGAGCTTCATGGAATGGGTTTCCATGGTCGAGCAGCTGCATCCAAGCCATACATCACCAAGTGGAATGCAAAGCGTCGGATGCGGTGGTGTAAAGCACGCCGCCACTGGACTCTAGAGCAGTGGAGACGCGTTCTCTGGAGTGACGAATCGCGCTTCTCCATCTGGCAATCTGATGGACGGGTCTGGGTTTGGCGGTTGCCAGGAGAACGGTACTTGTCTGACTGCATTGTGCCAAGTGTAAAGTTTGGTGGAGGGGGGATTATGGTGTGAGGTTGTTTTTCAGGAGCTGGGCTTGGCCCCTTAGTTCCAGTGAAAGGAACTCTGAATGCTTCAGCATACCAAGACATTTTGGACAATTCCATGCTCCCAACTTTGTGGGAACAGTTTGGAGCTGGCCCCTTCCTCTTCCAACATGACTGTGCACCAGTGCACAAAGCAAGGTCCATAAAGACATGGATGACAGAGTCTGGTGTGGATGAACTTGACTGGCCTGCACAGAGTCCTGACCTCAACCCGATAGAACACCTTTGGGATGAATTAGAGCGGAGACTGAGAGCCAGGCCTTCTCGTCCAACATCAGTGTGCGACCTCACAAATGCGCTTCTGGAAGAATGGTCAAAAATTCCCATAAACACACTCCTAAACCTTGTGGACAGCCTTCCCAGAAGAGTTGAAGCTGTTCTAGCTGCAAAGGGTGGACCGACGTCATATTGAACCCTATGGATTAGGAACGGGATGTCACTTAAGCTCATATGTGAGTCAAGGCAGGTGAGCAAATACTTTTGGCAATATAGTGTATGTTGCTTGCTGTTTTATATCTTAGGGTTAGGGTCAGGGTTAGGGCCAATTCTAATTTATATTCTATATTCGTGAATGGTGCGTCAGATGCGCATGCGCATACGACGAAAAAAACGTCCAAAACGTACGAAATTACGGTGCATAACTTTTCGTACGATTTCACACGCAATCATAATGAGAATAGGTTGTCAGGGATGGGGTAATTAGGACAGGTGGGGCAATAGAGGGCCTCTGTCCTAATACCTCATCCATGAGGACAAACCATGGCCAGGTGGCAGCAGTAGGCTTCCCACTGATCCCCTGCCCTGTCCCTGGATCTTTGCATTCCTAAAGTAGAGGAAAACAATTTGTGTCAGCAGATGCAATTTTCTGTGGTGTTTCTTTAAAGCTAGAAAAAAGGAGTGTTTCATGAACTGGATGGATTGATTATGTTGTGCTATATGCCATGATCATACTTTTTGGACATTGGGAAGCAGTGTCCATATTTCATCCTGATAGGATGACCAGAGGAGAGAACGCAGCTTTGGTGGATAACAGCTGGGGGACTTCTGCAGCCCCCCCTTTTCAGCCAAAGTCACAGGCAAGTCACATGGGAGCCACCAGAGGTGTGAAAACCTACCCCCCTCCCTGTGAAGCCAGAGAAAACCATAGAGCACACAGGATTCTGCCTCTTTCGCCTCTTCTCTCTTTCTCCCTCGTCTGATCCAGCCTGCTTCTGCTCCTGCGCTAAAAGCTGGGGCCCACTGTGGCCCACTGTGGCCCACAGTGAAGATGCAGGCCCGGGGGGAACCAGATCCCCAGAACCATCAAGGATGAGTCAGAACTCTTCAGAACCTAACTGCTGCAAACAGAACTTTTGCAACACATTTCTCTTGAGTTTCAGAACTTACAGAGCCAAACTGGATGAAGACCATGCCCTGGGTTTAAGACTGAGGGGACCCCTGCTGTGAGACTGAGACAAAGAATCCCTGACTGCAGAGCTGCAAAACTGGATGAAACTCAAGCTTTCCAAATGGACATGGAAAAAGGTTTGCAGGTTTGGCATGATTAGGGACAGAACAAGCAATGTGTCTTTTGATGATGCGAATCATATCACGTGTTTACTGCCGTGTAAAGACAACGCTAATAGGGCTTGGTCGTCGTGACGTCACCACTTTGCGTGGTCGCCATGTTGACGGCGCACTTTACGGCTTCCTTAGACTATTGCCTGTGACTAACGCGTACTGTTCTCCCTCTCAGCCGTGTTTTATTTTGTTTAATTTCACCGTAACTTGATTTCAACCATGGTAAACCGTTGCAGTATTGTGGGCTGTAACAGCGCATCACATGATCGCCGAGGGAAAAACCTACAAAATGGGATAACTTTCCACGCTTTCCTGCCTGGAGGCGCAAACACGGAGACCAAGTTTCACAGATAACAAAGAGTCGTCGGCTAGCTTGGATCGCGGCTGTAAGACGACAGAACATAACTTTCCACAGTATCCCGATGTCAATGCGAGTGTGTTCCCTGCATTTTCATTCTGGTAAGTTAAAGATGCACGGTTTTATTTTATAGCCTACAGTATTTCCTTCCTTCATCCGTGGCACCACATACATGCATGAACGCGCGCCGAGAGACTGTTGATATAGCATTTTCATCCTCGTTGGTTGATATAGCATTTGATATAGCATTTCATCCTCGTTGGTTGATATAGCATTTGATATAGCATTTTATCCT